ACATTCCACAAAAGATAACATCAGTAAAAAGTTAATCATCTTGAATACACTAAATTTAACCACACATTGAATTATTTTGTTCAATATCAAAACATGATAATCCAATTGTGGTTGTGTCAAAAAGCTTGTTAAAAATCACTTTAAATGTTTGTCACCAACTGAATCTAGATCCATTATTGCAATGGCGGCTTGATGCAGTTTAAGGCCTAAAGCGAAATCACTAAATTATGTATTCTCACGTTAATTAAATTAATACAATACTACTAATAATTATTATTTATTTTTTTCCCACTGACTGAAAAACAACAAAGGATAAAAATAAACTAAGAATATATACAATCAAAAGCCAACACCTGCAACCAAGCATCAGACCACAAATCTCAATCTCCATCACCCCTTCTAGCTGCTACTTCACTCCTACTAGAGCAATTTTACTTGCACAGTGAGCAGCAGCATCACTACACCTAGGCATCCATTTCAGCACACAACCAGAACATTTAGCTAGCAAGGAAGATACATCTTCAATAAGAACATGCATCCCAGAAACAGAGGGTCGCGACCACAAAGCTGGTTGTCAATCACCTTCAACAATTACATTATTGTAACCCCACACAAGTAGCAACTTTAAAACTTCCCTCAACACAAAGTCTCTGCAGGGACTGCACTACTAACATGATTAATAAACACAGATACTACCTTAATAGCTTCCCCTCTCAACTTAACTTGCAATATGCTTAAGGAAATATAGAAACACTATTTACATTTTTAGCTTCAGAGGTGGTGATTTAATTGTGTTGGCAATTAACATGTAAGAGAGTCAATAATATACAAAGTCCAAAAGAAATATAATGTTGAACAAGTATTGATATGCAAGAGAATTTAAAAATTATAAGAAGTTCAAAAGGTGCAAGTTTGTTGATAGAAAAAATGAAATAATGACAAGATAAAACATTTCGGTTAAAACACACTTGCATTGACCAATAGAACAACAGTTGTATTTATTTGATAATTAATACAATACATGAAGCATAATTAATACATTAAAAGAAACATGATAAGAAACTTTCAGCTAGACTCTTGGTTAAACTCTTAGGTCTAAGAATCATTATCCTACTTTCAGCTAGACTCTTGGTTTCTATTAGGTCTAAATATCATTGTCTTGGTTAAAATATTAGGTCTGAATAGCATTGTCCAATAGGATAATAATGATTTTTAGAAGTCTTATCTATTACATGCATTGGATAAGGCCAAAACTTTGATCTTGGATAAGAAATTTTCGTCTAAACTATTCGATTGAATTAATAGGTTTGAATAGCATAAGATAATGATTCTTAAACCTAATAGTCTAACTGAGGTGCATTAGATAAGGCCAAAATTTTGATCTTGTCTAATGGATATGAAACTTTTGGCTAGACTCCTCGATTAAACCCAAAAAAATTACTCTGTATATCCTAAGAATAAGGAATTTAAAAGCCCAAATAGGAGTTTCTTCCTCTTCCAAGATCTCCTATTCCTCTCCCGCCATCTAGAAAGGAGCAACCCTCCAAAGGTCTCAAGTGGGCTTACTCACTATATACCCTCTCCAAGCTTTGATCCATTCTTTTCGAAAATAATGGCACGAATAAACGAACACCAAACAAGGCAAGAAGCATATCCCATCCATCCCTAACCACCGAAGCTCCTCATCTCTCTTGCTCATACAATATCTATTGACAATGATCTGACATCCTCAAATTGTTGATCATCAAATTCATCCGAAAAGTACCAAGTACCAATACATTTTTTGAAATTGTACATAGCCACAAGGTCCTATGCACCAATACAAAAACATGTACCAAGTACCAATACAACCGATAAAGTCTTATCCATTATTTGATGGATTGATCTAGCCGAGAAATTCTTATCCATTATTTGATGGATTGATCTAGCCGAGAAATTCTTATCCATTAAATGCATTAGATAAGGCCAAAACTTTGATCTTATCCAATGCATCCAATGGATAAGAAACTTTCGACTAACTTTTTGATTAAACTATTAGCTTTGAATAGCATTGTCCAATACTTAGATCCAATAGTCGAATCGATCTAACCGAAAAAGTCTAATCCATTGAATTAAGGCCAACACTTTCCAATGAATAAGAAACTTTCTACTAATCTATCTGAATAGCATTCTTCAATAGGACGAGAAAGTCTTATTGATGCATTGGATAAGGTCAAAACTTTATCTTATCTACTGCATGCAAAGTTTCAGCTAGACTCTTCATTACACTACTAGGTCTGAATAGCATTGTCCAATATGATAATGATTCCTAGAGCTATTAGTCTAAGTGAGGTGTTTAGCCGGGAAAGAATAATTAGGCCTAATAGTCTAACCGAGAGTTTAGCTGATAAAGTCTTATCCCTTATCCATCGATAAGAAACTTTCTACCAGACAATTCGGTTAAGCTATTAAGTCTAAATAGAATTGCCCAATAGGATAATGGTCCTCTCTAATCGAGAAGTCTAGACTATTTACCAAAACTTTGATATTATCTAATGTATCCAACGCATAAGAAACTTCCGGCTAGACTCTTCGGTTAAACTATTGGGTCTAAATAGATAATGAAAACACTTTTATAGGCCTCTTTTCCAATTGGGAGCCTTAAGCGGCAACCTTATGGTAGAGAGGTCCCTGCATGATTGTTAAACAGACAAAGAATATAAATATAACCAAAGACCATGGGAATTGCTTAGGTTGAATACTCCTTTCGTCCCATATTAGTTGTTCCTTTTTGGTATTATAACTTTTTAAGGGACATGCTATGAATGAATTGTATACTAAATTTTTTTTTTTTTTTTAATATGTCTACTTTTAAAATTACCAGGCAAAGTTTTTGAAGATTTAAAGGATAATTATTAAAAGATAACATTTATATTGCTTTGACCCTTTAAGTGGAACAACTAATTTGGGACATCAAGGAAAGAGGGAGTAGTTCACATCATTTTATAGAAATTAATGAAGCATTCATGGTCCAAAAAAATCCAAACTAGGGAGCAAAGTTCATAGATTGAAGTAACAATTTAAAAATTGTACGACAACAGAATGTGAGCCAATACAACAAGCTCGATAATGCGCAGGAAATGCCTGATTAAGGATGCTTCAACTGACTCTTTACTATTTCTCTCGTACTTCAGCACCTGACACAATGTCGACTGTCGAGTATACGGAACAAAAAAAAAAAGTCCAGGTCCTCCAGGATAAAAATCAAGGGATTCATGTTTTCCTTTCTTATTTCCACTCCAAGTTAGGGGCCGCCCATTACCTACCATACTTGCACATGAAACAATGTTTCTTGACAAAGTAGTTGAGGAGTCTTTGTAAGACATAATACAACAGGATTAGGGTCATTGGACTTGGGGTAAAAATCCCCAAAGTCAAACTTGACATCAATCTCCTAAAGATCCTAATAATTCCTTCACGTATAAAAAGAAAAACTGCAATACACACCTAATGAATCTTGAATTCCATATTCCCCACATCCTAGTCCAAAAAATTTATTTGAATGCTAAAAGATCAAATGTATTATAAACTCAAAATTTCAGCTTGATATTCAAATATAATCTATGGTAATTCTCCATTAAGTTAAGTGAAACAAGTCCTTATGTAGAGTGTTCCGAACGGTGTTGGGGCCTTGGAACGGCAATTGTAGGATACTTTTTTACATAGTTTTAACTCAGATCAAAGCAAATCTTATCAACCCCCATTAGTTAAAACAAGAGCCTTTTATGAGTCACATAGTATTTCAATATACATACACATACACACAACAACGCAACATAATAATGAACTTTAAATTTCAACACTGAGACAAATTAAGAATTCCCTTGTAAATCCCTAATACTCAAATGGAAGCTTAGAAAAATTTCAAAACAATCCGTGTTAACATCCATCCAACATGTAAAATTATACTAAAAAATTCCAGCTTCCAACCAAAGAAACCAACATGAATCCCAAGAAACTCTACCTGAGATGTGAGATGACCATCGGAGAGACCGATCAATGAATCAGATCTCACTTCTGAGTTGAACCGACGGGTGGGGCACCGAGTAGACTCGCCTGCTGCAACTCGAGCTCATTGAGCTGCTGTTCACGGTCCATCTCTATGATGAGTGGCAAGAAGAGGATGAGGAACGTCGTGCCGGCGATCCAAGCGGCCTTTCCGGTGCTCTTCGCGAGGCGCTTGGTCACGTAGGCTGCGTCCGACGCCGCTCGTTTGCCGTGGTGTACAATCACCGACTGCGAGACGGCGGTCGAAACCCTAGATACGATCCCTTCGCCGTCGCTGGTGAGAGAGAATCGTTTGCCCCCCTGAGGTGCCATTAGAGAGAGAGCCGAAGGTGTTGTTAAACCCTAATTGATATGCTCGAGGTCGAAGTCGTTTCAAGTCTGTTCGCGATATATTATATTATTTTATTTATTCAATCTACTGTTTTAGAATGACGTGAAGAAAAAGAAAAATGAAGTCAACTTAGAAATTTGGTTAGATAATAAAAAAAAAAATTACTTTCCATAACTACCCAGTTCTTTTTAAAGAATTTTTTTTAAAAAAATATTGAAAAATATTGATTTTTTAAAAATAATTATGAACTTATAATAATGTCAATTTTTTTAATAGAAAATTTCATACTATTTAAATCATGATAATTTTTTTTTTTTTTTTTTAATCAAATACATCATAAAAAATTATTTTCTTTTTATTCAATTCATTTTAGTTATTATAACTTTGCACTATTAATTTTCATTTAGGCTCAGTTTGAAGGTAAAATATATTTGGTTATTATAAAATATTTACAATGAAAAAAATTATTAAAACATAACAAAAATTATTTATTCATCAATTTTCGATAAGCTATTTTATATGTTCCACTAGATGGATTCGACATTAATCTTCCTTTGCTGAACACCTAAAATTATATATATATATATATATATTACTTGAAAAAATAAAATATTTTATGTCAAAATAGGATTGTTAATCAAACAGTAAGAGGAATCAAACTCCAACCTCTCACCTGAGTAAAACCTTCTCCATTCCTTTGGGTAGTGTGAATGTCAAAAGTGTGTGGATAGAATTTAAGTTTAAACTTAATATTTGACATTATTTGTATATGCCCCCATAATGAATTATTGTATATTTTAAGAGACCTGATACTATCACAGTCAAAAAAAAAAAAAAAAAAAAAGAATCTTATACATAATTCCTGCTTTTCTAATTCTGCAGTCAAACTATTTATTTATTTATTTATTTTTAGTTGATGCTCACACACACAGATGCCTCAGTGGAGGCATGAACCGTGACTTTCCTTTGGAAAGTAAGGGATATATATACCGCTAGGCCACTAGGCCGTTGGTTGGAGTCAAATTGTTATACACCCCAATTCCTTCTTTTATAATTCTACAGTCAAACTGGCCTCCCTCTCCAACTTGTTGCCATATCAAGTAGCCATTTGATCACCTTCTGATGTCTGTGTTTCAATATGAGGAAAAGACTTTTCCAAGTTCAATTCCATGTCCTCCTTATCTAAAGAAGGTTTTTTATACTGCCTCTATGAACAACATGATCAACAATATCTTTTCGCTTCTTTAAGTGGTTGAAGTCGTTTCATCTCTTGATCGATCTTCAGTCAGAAAATGATTGATCTCTGTCAGGCAACTCCAACTCATACAAAAGCAGAAACTCCATCTTTTCTCCTCAAGTCTGCAAACAGTTCTGGTTCTCACGTTTCAGATTGCGCCTAAAAGGGCGCAATGGCAATGTGATGTGACAAAAATTGTATAATCCGTAACATCCACTACGTGGCATATATATCTTGAAACGAAACAACATTTGGTTTCAAAATCTCAATCTCTATCTCCATATGCAGCAAGTCTAGAACACCAGAAAGGCTATAGAACTCTGGGTGCGAACCATCTCCTGCAAGGAATACATGCGCGTTGTTTTTTACCTCAATCCAACTACAACCAGGTTGCTTCTTCACACCCCGCTCTTTCATACGAACCCACATCTTCTCAGCGTCTTTTTTCCTTCCCTTACCCAGGTACATTTCAACCAAAATGATATATACACCAGAGTTATGGGGCTCTAATTCCAGAACCCTCTCCCCTGCAATCTCACCCACCTCAGTGTTTTTGTGTATTCTACATGCTCCAAGCAAGGCCCCCCAAACGCTTGCAGGTACCACAACTCCATCCGTCCTCATTTGATCCAAAATTTTCATTGCTTCGTCTATAAGTCCTGATCTACCCAAGAGATCAACAATACAAGTATAATGCTCGCTCGTTGGCTCAAGAAAACACTTGTACTTCATGAAGTGAAAGTAGTACTTACCTTGTTCTACTAATCCGGCATGGCTACAAGCAGATAGAACACCTATAAAAGTTATCTGATTGGGTCTAACATTTGTTGACCTCATTTGTTTGAACATCTCTAGGGCTTTCTTACCATGTCCATGGTGAGCGAATCCGCATATTACAGAGTTCCAAGAAATAACATCATGGTTGAGCATGGAAGAAAATTCAAGCAAGGCAGAATGCATGTTACCGCATCTGGCATACATGGTAACCATCGCATTACAAACTGAAATGAAACAATCAAAACCAGTCTTAATGACTAGTGAGTGAGTTTGTTTTCCAAGATGTAAGGTTGGCAAGTTTGAACATATTGTAAGAACACTCGTAAATGTAGCTTCATCCACAGGCATTCTTCCTTCTTTCATTCTGATAAACAATTTCAAACCATCCTCTCCATGATCGTTTTCTCCTAATCCAAATATTGTAGCATTCCACACAGTTGTATCTCGAGTTGGCATCAATTCAAAAAGTTCGACTGCAGTGCCAACCTCACCCATTCCAAAGTATCCAATAATCATATTTGTTTGTGACACAACATCACTGAATGGGCTTTTCTCAAGAATAGCATGCGCTTCTTTGACAAACCCATTCCTTACTAATCCCAACAAGATCAAATTCCATGATCTTTGGCATTTTTGGGGCATTTCATTAGAAAGTCTCATAGCGTCATTAATCCGTTGACTATTCAGCAACCCATTCATCATCTCATTCCAAGAATTCCAATCCCGATCGGCAATCTTGTGAAACAAAACCTCTGCAATTTCAAGATATCCATATTCTATATAAGCAGCTATCATTGTATTCCAAGCTTGAACATCTCTTACCGGCATAAGTTCAAAATGTTCACGAGCTTCAGCAATCCGCCCTGCACGCACAAGCGCAGACATCATGATAGTCCAAGATGCAGTATCCCGACTACTCATTTTTCCAAATAACTCCTCAGCCTTATCAAGTTCTCCACAATTCACTAGACCTGCAACCACCAAGTTCCAAGAAATAACATTTTTCGAAGGCATCCTATCAAACAACCGAACAGCTTCATCCACCAAACCATTACGAACATACCCAGCAATCATTGAATTCCAAGTCACTACATCTCTAAACTGCATACGCTCAAAAACTTCCCTTGCACCATTCACATTGCCACAATGCATTAACACCGTAATCATCGTGTTATACGAATACAAATCACGATTGGGCATTTGATCAAACAAGCAGAACGCTTTCTCAAAACACCCATTTTGAAATAAACCGCGAATCATTGCATTCCAGGTGACTGTGTTTCTCTGAGGCATTTCTTCGAACAGCTTTTGGGCTTCTTCGATGAAGCCATTTCTCATGTAGTTTGAGATCTTTGCGTTGAGAGGCTTCAGATTGAGAAGTGTCGATTCAGTATACTTTCTTGCTAGTAGTTTGATGGAGAGAGTTTTGGTGAGTGAGAGTGCTTGAATGGGACGAAATGTGAACACCATACTCCATTAATTTAAGTAAAAACAGAAGCAGAGAACACAAGTGGTTATGGAAATCAGTTGTTTTATGGATTCAATCAGGTGGCTAAGCTCAATTTTTAAGCCCATCTCATCATCACTTGCAATAAACAAATTGTGATCATGGGTTTAGATTAGGTTGACATGTTTTTCTAGAATTCTTCATTTTTTCAAAGCAGGGACACTTTATTTCTATATATATATATATAATAAATAATAAAAAAATAAAAAAATTAGAAAAACTAGGAATGTGCTGTGAGTACAGTTATTGTAGAAATCCACATGTACCTCAAATCTTATCCCTTTTATTTCTCCTCCAATCTAACTGGACAGAATCTCCCCACATCAGCTAGATAGCCTTAACTTTAAGGCTACTCATACCCTTCTCTGTTTTTACACTAAAACCAACTCTCAACTCTCTCAACTTCACACCAAAAAAAAAACAGGAAAAACTCGCCCAAACTCACCCTCCACCACCACCATTCAGAACCCAATTCCGGCAACATGGCCGCCGCCACTGCCGCAGTGGCATCTTCTTTCTCCACATCCATGCAGACACTTAAATCCATCCACTCCAAGAACTGGCCATCCAATCATCTCCTCAGATTTGCGTCATTACCCATGTTACAAGTTGGACTCGTATCTCACTCCATCACAATCGAAACGCTTTCCTTAGGTGCCACCTCTCAGAAGTGGCGGGTTCCGAGGATATCGGCCGCGGTTGCACAAGAAGAGGCGGCGGCGGCAGCGGCGGAGGCAGAGGCAGATGCAGAGGCGGTGGCGGTGGAGGAAAAGGAGGAAGTGTCAGATGAAGGAGGAGAGGGTAACGATGAGAGTGCTGTAAATACTAAGCTTTACTTTGGGAATTTGCCTTATCTTTGTGACAGTGCCCAGCTAGCTGGAATAATTCAAGAGTATGGCAGTCCAGAGCTAGTTGAGGTATGTAGTTATTTATGCACAGTCCCTTTCAAGTTTAATTAACTAATCTGGATATATGTATAATGTATAATATACCATTAATTTACTCTAAAAGCTTGAAATATGTGCTAATAATGCTGCAAATTAATTACTTTCTTTTATATATTTCACCATGCGTATAATATAGATTGGAATACTTCTAAGGAAGCCTTAGCAGCAAAATTAGAAAAATGGAGAAAGACATTGAGGATTAAAAATTAGTATAAGTAAGACAAAATAAATGGAATGTTAATTTTATAAATAGCAAACAATGATAATATAAGCATTAGAATTCAAGGCCAAAGAGTGACTCAAAATAGCTTCTTCTTTTTTTTTCATTGCCTATGATTAATAGTAGAAAGAGATGGAGAGATAAGTGATGATTGCAGACAAATTGGAGACATTGTCCTTCGTGACAAACGAATACTAGATAAACTAAAAGGAAAATTCTATATAACGGTTGAAAAGCGAGGTATGTAATATGGAGCAGAGTGTTGGGCATTGAAAAAGATACAAGAACGACGCATTCACTTAGCGGAAAGGGGATGCTACTTTGGATGGTTGGAGTAACTGGAAAAGATAGGATTAAGAATGAACGTTTGAGGGGAACACTAGGTATCACGTCTGGAAATGGTAAAATTAGATAAAGTAGACTAGATGGTATGGTCATATCTGACATAGACCCGATGATGTACCGGTTAGAAGAGGAAGAATTGACTGCCTAGAAGGTAAGTAATAAAGAGGCCGACCAAAAGTTACATGTGATGAAGTAATTAAGAATGATCTTAAAATTTAAATATAAGAGAAGACATGATATATAATGGGAAAGAATGAAAAAAAATGAATTCATGTGGTTGACCCCATTCATATGGAATAAAAAGCAAGGATGACAATGATGATGATATATAGTTTGGCAAGCATGCAAACGAGTGGTTATAGTTTGGCAAGCATGCAAACGAGTGGTTAGATGGTTGTGTTATTATGTGGAGTCTTGGAGTGTACTTGTTGTCTAATTGATTAGCTTGATTTTGGCTGTCCATTGTTTGGCAAGGTTTTTTTTTTTAAGAGTAGATGGAAAATCTAACAACTAAGTTAGTTACGAGGACATGTTTTTGGTGATAGTACATGTTAAATTTGAGTCTTCTTCACCAATGGGTTATTAGTCCAATGGTATTAACCTCTTGTCCCTCAAAAGAAGGTGAGGAGTTCAAGTCTCGAAGTGGGCAATTTGTGAAATGTGTGTGTGAGTACTTACCTAACCAAAAAAATTATATTTGAGCCTTCTTTGAAGCTTGAAGGCTGTCCTGAATTCCATAACCACTTGTCCTGTCCCCAAATAATATTTATATGTAGGCTGAAATATTTTTACACCCTTAAGTGGGGTGAAATAAATTGAATGCAAGTCGACTTAATGTGGTGATTGTGAATTTTATCTCCATCCATTCTAACAATTCTAACCAAGTTAACGTAATGAGCCATAACTAAGATTCTAAAGTGAGGCAGAAGTGCCAAAAATGCCATTCTTTAAGTCCATCTAGCTACCTGCAGAGTCCCCCATAGTTGGGGGATACCTTGAAAGTAATCAATGTAACTACCCCACTTGGGGTTCTAATTAAATGGTTAGATCAATAAGTTGATGACTATCTTTAGCTTCTACATTTTATTGGCTATGCTTTAATTATTAAGTTTTGATTGGTAGATATGTATTACCATATGCATAACTTGGTGTCACTGGCCTAATCAAGCTGTGGTCAAGTTTCTGTTTAAATAGCAATTACTTAAAATGCCAAAGTTTGAAAATATATTCATGTTCAGCTCTTGTTGGGTGGGAGTCATGCTGCTGAAAGAGCATAGTACCTTGAGTACTTAATTTAAGGAACTTTTCAAGAAATGTTATTACTCAGTGTCAAAACCGACTTCATCTACATGTCTTCCCATTTTCCTATTTAAATCGACTATGTTGATGATGGGAAAGATTAGTTGAAGAGTTTGAGGCCTTGATGAAGAGAGAGTTAGATTCAAGGTTAAGGAGGAGAAAAGAGTCGAAAAGAATGATGGAGAGGATCGATTCAGCTGTGGCTTTCCAAGAGCTCTCCTCTCCAAGTTTTAACTCTTTAGAATCGCACAAATTTTGTGTTAGGTTAACAAGACTCTCAAGGTGAATAAGTCATTTCTTATTCTGAAAATTTGTCTTTTTTTATTTTTTAAAACATTTTGCTTGTTTAAAATGATCAATCTAATACCTATCAAAGAAACGTTTCAGTAGGAAACACGTGTGAGATTGTTGGTTTTTGTCTGATAATGTGAAATATGTTACTATTGTTTCAAAGGGTTTACAATCCTAAAGCTTCAGATTGATTAATAAGAAGTATTGTGGGGCTATAGAATGTACACTGAAATTAACACACACCGGCATTGGGGTTTAAACCTTCTGAAATGCATACTTGTGGGTAAATCCAGGTATTTTCTGCAAATACTATTGGCACAGCCTCTAAGATATTAGTATCAGTATGAGTAATAATTTGTTTATTCCCTAAACTTGGATGTAGGTAACAAAGACATGAAGGCAAGTGTGGTAGAGGTGTTCTCTAAAAATATGTTTTTTTTCTTGAGCTTTTCCATATGTATGCACACAGAAGGTTGTTTAGCATACCTAGGGAAAAAAGGGTTGTTTAGCATAAGGATTTACAAAGAAATCAGGTAAAATATATGGTTGTTTTCTGCATATAATCTTAAATAACTTGTGTGACTGAATTCTACTCTCGATATTCAGAAAGTTGGGATATTGAATTTATTTTTTCTTTCTTTAGAAAGTGGATTGTGTTAGGGTGAAATTAAAGCAAATCAGTGGAAAAGGGAATTTTTGATGGGAGCATTTCAAATTATACAGAGAATTCCTTGTACTTCATTCTCAAGCTAACGCAATGGAACAAATTTATCCTATGTGGTCCATTTCTTAGGAAGGAAAAGTTGAAGGAAAGGAAACAATGGAGCTTCATGGTGTGGTAGGATTGAAAAGGAGGAAGAGAAAGGAATAAAAGGAGAAGCAAAAAGCATCTCCTCCTTTCTTTCTTTATTTATTTATTTTTAATACACATTTCCCCTCAAAAAACAAAGGTCTTCCTTTAAAATTTAAGGCTACAATGACAAAATCACATGACAACATTTGCCTTTTTCTTTCTACTTCTTGTTGCTTGGCCAAACAACAAAGAAGAAAGACACATTTCTTTCCCACTATCTTACCTACCGCTAGTTTTTCCACCCCTCGTACTAGATGGGGCTCTAGTGCCGATAAATCAGTGCATAAGATCACAATAGCCTTTCCATATATTACCAAACAAAGGTCTTCCTTTAAAATTTAAGGCTACAATGACAAAATCACATGATAACATCTGCCATTTTCTTTCTACTTCTTGTTGCTTGGCCAAACAACAAAGAAGAAAGACACATTTCTTTCCCTATGGAAACCCCTTCCATTCCCACTATCTTACCTACTGCTAATTTTTCCACCCCTCATACCAGATGGGGCACTAGTGTTGATAAATCATTGCATATGATCACAGTAGTCTTTCCATATATTACCTTCACCTCTGGCCACCTCCGTCTTCCAGCAGAGGAGGGAGGTATTTTGTGGAGAAGAACCAAAAACAAGAAAAAGAAAAAAGAACAGAAAAGAAAAGGCGAGGTCCTATGTCACATTCTCGGGTCTTTAGGCAAAGTAACAAGGTAAATGAGATCCCGGAATTAAAGAAATAGGTGTTCTATAGTTAGGCATAGCGTCATTTGGTTAAACTTCAAAACTTGGAGTTAAAGGTCATGACAGAGTTTTGTCTCCTTCAAGACTTCTATGCCATCATCAAATAATAGTCCGATCAAAGGAATTAGATTCATGCCTGAAAATTATTAGGCATAGTTGTTTAACTCCATTTTTATGGTACTTGGCCCACAATTCAACATCAAAATTGCACTTTTTTAAAGATTAAGTTTAAAGGACGAGTTGATTGGGTTGATTAGTTTAACCAATAAATTACAACATGTTCCAACAGCTTAAACTAGCTCTAAACGATGACATATAGTTATTATACATCCTATATGGTCATAAGGACAGAGCCCTAGTTTAATTTACTCGTGTATCCTAAATTTTGTTTAATATAATGAAATCAGCAAAACTAATAAAACAGTGAAAAAACTATGCCTTGTTCTTTTTACTAGTTCTAGCAGCTAGAATTTTGATATCGATTCCTCTCATGAATATAATTCCTTATTGCTATGTTTGGTGTGCAGGAATGGAATGGAATGCAAGTGAGAATGGAATGGTCATTCTCATTCTATTGTTTGGTTGTAAATATGAAATGTATAGGAATGGAATGATAATAACTATTCTAGTATTTGGTTTGACCAATTTTAGAATGGAATAAATTTCTAATTGAATTCTCCAAAATATCCATATTAGTAACAAATAAATTAAATTAAATTAACAAAATGATATTCACTAATAATTTTTTTAAAATAAATGGTGGCAGTGGCGGTGGTGGTGGTGGATGGTGGAAAGCGGTAATAGTGTAAGTGGTGGTGTTGGAAGGCGGCGGTGGTGGCAATGGTGGAAATTGGTGGCAGCAGTGGTGGTGGAAGGTGGCAGTGGTGTTGGTGGAAGGCAGTGGTAGTAGTGTGGTGGTTGTGGTGGAAGGAGATAATGGTGTGACTATGGTAGTGGTGGAAGGCGCTGGTGGTGGTGGTAGTGGTGGTGGTGGAAGGCGGCGGCAATGGAAGGCGGTGGTGGCGGCGGCAATGGAAGGCGGTGGCGGTGGTGGTGGTGAAAGGTGGTGGCAATGGTGGTGGTGATGGAAGGTGGTAAAAGACGATGGCGGTGGTGAAAGGCGGTGGTGGAAGGCGATGGCGGCATTGTTGGTGGTTGTGGAAGGCGGCGGCGGTGGTGGTGAAAGGTGGCTGTGGTTGTGGTGGAAGGCGGCGGCGGTGGTGGAAGGTGGTGGTGGTAGTGAAAGGTAGTAGCAGTGGTGGTGGTGGAAGGTGGTGGCAGTGGTGGGTGGTGAAAGGCAATAGCAACGGTGATGGTGGAAGGTGGTGGCGGTAGCAATGGTGAAAGGCAGTGGTGATGAAAGGCGGTGGTGGTTGCAGTAAACGGTGGCGATAACGGTGGTGAAAGGCGGTGGCGGTAGCGGTGGTGGTGGAAGGTTATGGCAGTGGTGAAAGGCAATGGCAGCAGTGGTGGTGGAAAGTGGTGGGCGATGATGAAAGTCGGCGGCGGTGAAGGTGGCTGTGGCGGTGGTGGAAGGCGGCGGCTGTGGTGGTGGGCGATGGCGGTGGAAAGTGGTGGGCGATGGTGAAGGTGGTGGTGGAAGGCAGTGGTGGTGGTGGTGGTGGTGGTGGTGGTGGTGGTGGTGAAAGACGGAGATGATTGTGGTGGAAGGTAATGGTGGTTTTTGGACTTGGAATATGAGGGTGTTTTGGGAAGTCGATTTTTTAAAATAAATTATTTGGGAATGGAATGGCCATTTCATAGGTTTAGTTGTGGAATGGATTTTCATTCCAATGGAATGGCCATTCCCACTTTAAGTTGCATACCAAACAAATGAATGGTTGGAATGGGCATTCCATTCCATTCCATTCATCCACACCAAACGTAGCATAAGTTCTCATGATGAAAATTCATGCGTACTGTTTTTTATTTAATTTGTAAAGATTATTGAATTTGTACCTCAAGCTTCATTTTTTTGGCATGCATTATGATAGTGTGCTATTATCTGTAGCACATTGCTAGTATTAATTGTTGTTTATTTTCCATTATCTCTATAAGGGATTCTTTTTAGTTTTTACTAATGAGTTCAATTGGTCTTTTAGGTTCTTTATGACAGGAACACTGGAAGAAGTAGAGGATTTGCTTTTGTCACAATGAGTAGCATTGAAGATTGCAATGCAGTTATCAAGAATCTCGACGGAAGTGTAAGAATCTATCAGTGTGTGTATGTGTGTGATGCACAAACCTACATGCCTGTGCATGAAGAAATTGCTTATATTAATTAGACACCAAATGGTTCTTTCTTCCGGTACATTTTAATTTTGATCCTTAAATTTTCTTATCTTTTATGCACATATACATCGACAAGAATCCTGTCAAATAAGGCCTTACTAAAGAAAGATCCTTGTTTCAGGAATATGGTGGTAGAACTTTGAGGGTCAACTTCTCAGACAAGCCTAAACCGAAAGAACCTCTGTATCCAGAAACTGAGTACAAGCTTTTTGTTGGGAATTTAGCCTGGTCAGTCACGTCTGAAAGCTTGACACAAGTATTCCAAGAATATGGAAATGTGGTTGGAGCAAGGGTTCTATATGATGGGGAGACAGGAAAGTCTCGCGGTTATGGTTTCGTATGCTACTCAACGAAACCAGAGATGGACACTGCCCTTGAATCTCTTAACGGAGTGGTATTAATCGCTTCTCTCTCTCTCTCTTTCTGCACATCCTTAGGCATAATTATATATGTTTTCGTCTTTGATTATCAATGAATTGTGTTCTGCATTTCCTCGGATTTTCAGGAGCTAGAAGGCCGGGCAATTCGTGTTAGCCTGGCACAAGGAAAGCGGCAGTAGGATGAAAAGAAGTGTAAAAATGTTCAGCAGTGTTGGATGTCAATGTGAATGGCATTGAAGAAGTGGAAGGAAATTTGTTTAGCTATTAAAAGTGCAATTTCTTGAAAGAAACTCCTTTCCTTTCTCTTTGTCTATAATTTGTTTTACTTCTGGATCATTTTCAATGGAAAATCATTTGTAGAATATCCAGCAAATCTTTCTTAGTGGTGACATTAATTTGTTTCACTTTTCTGTGTAATTTTATTTATAATATTTCAGAAAAAAATATGTAGTTTTATTCTGCATGCTAATACACATTTTATGTTAGCATTGAGATTGAGAGAACTAGTACCTTGCTTGACTAATTTGCTGTTAAAGATATTCACTGACCAAACCAGGCTCAAATTCACGGGCGGCTCAATATGTTTTGAGACATTAGGCAAAAAATTATAAAAATCGTTCTTCCTAATTAGATTCTTGAATTGAAGTTGTCAATAAATAATATAAATTAGTATATTTAATCTTTCTTGTAGACATAGTCAGTAATATAAATAAAAATGTTGGCAAACAAAATACAATTTTATGATAACAAAAAATAATAAGATTATAAAATAATTTAAGTTTAAAGAACAACAAAACTTATGTTCCGGTCCAATATGCTCCAACAAATTCTTTTCTTTTTTTCCTGGTTAATACTCACACACAAATGTTAAAGAGCAATGCAGTGACCATGAAGGTCGCCACTGCTCCCGCAGTGACTCCAACAACCACTGCCGGAGCAGCAACGCGGTCGGCGAGTCGTAGAGAGAGAGAGTCCAGGCAATGTTGTTCGGGCTATTCTTTGCATGCAATAATATTCGTTATTGGGCAACTCCATTCATGCATGCAATAATATAACCTTCATGGTTAGGCATCATCTCCAATGGCTGGGCAATGATCTCCAAGGATGAACAATGAGTTCTTCATAGGATTGGGCTAGACCTTGTATCACATTCTTTTCCCATTCGCAGGAAATTTTCAAGTTAATTTCCCTGTACAAATTGCTGTGAATACAATAAAATAAATATAATGGGTCTCCATGGGAAATCATCATTCATTCATCAAAATTAAATCATCCAAATATAAACATGCATATAAAAACAATATATAGTAAACCGTTTATGTTTGATCCATTAAAACGAATTGAGTCACAATGATACTAATTGTTGGGTAGCCCGGAATAAAGAGGAAGCAATTTATCAAAATAATTTTTCGTTTGCGAAATAGAATGTCTCAATTAGCTTTAATGAATCATTAATGTTTCTCAATTACGTAGATGGTAAGATCACCTTTACCTTTTAGACAATTTAATACTCCCAATATCATGTTTAGATATCTAATTTGGGATGAAGGTAGTAATTGTTTATCACCAAAGATTAATCGATTGCTAGATAATGTCTTCTTCAGTCCTTGATCTCCAACGACCTATGGTGTCTCCGAATTTTCACTCCTATCTTTGAGTCGATTTCAATCGACAAGCAGTGAGAAGTGTGGGATTTAGATCTCCTTCTGAATTCTTGTGTGGGAAAAATCCCACTACTCTACATACAAGGAGGTAAAGTTCTAATTAATTACTCCCCTCATTGCACACTAATTCACTGACTCACTAATTATCCTTGATGGACTTTGGCATTGATAGAGTAGAGGCAGTTTCTTCTAATTTGAAGATTTTTGCTCCTTGGCCCTTCTTTGCCTGAATTCAATAGAGTATTTTAATAGCTTCCTAGCCGAAAAAAAAATCCTCTCTATTTACTCTCTCACTGGATTGGTCCAGTGAGGGGTAAAAAAGCTGACTTGATACTTAGTTAAATTCGTATTTACTCAGCTATCAATTTATACATATACTTCTCGTATAAAACGTATATATATATTGCAATATTTAATTAATTTAATTTTCACGTTATGGGTCCCACAATTTATACATCTTCCGTACAAAACATATATATTGTAATATTTAATGAATTTAATTTTCACTTTATGGATCCCACTTGACAAAATAAATGACAAAAAAGAAAAAATTAAACTTCCAAAAAAAAAAAAAAAAAACGAAATCTTCCCCGCAAAAAGTCAGCTTTGTATCCAAACGAAATGAAAACTTCCCCTCATCAAAATTAAGTTTGAAAGAAGCAAAATTAGACCAAACGTAAAGCAAATCCAGAACACATTGCATAAAGTGATGCTTTGTGATTAACAGGGTCTTTCTTCAAAGAACAAAATCATACCTATTTCGGAAAGAAAATTCTGGCCATTTGGCAATTGTAAGTGAGAGGCTATGATTTTATTTTTTTGTAATTTTTTTCAAAATGAGAAAACAACTATTATCTTATTTAGAGGCAACCTAGGAGTGACTTTGGTTATCCAAAGAATTTGAAGTATGGATTATTGAGTCTGATGAATATAAAAAAACTGTAAAACCAGATTTTGGAACATATTTTACATTATTTGAAAACCATAGAAGATAAACGATATACGAACAGAACCACGAAGAAGAAGGTGAACCAGATCTGAACGATTTCCCGACACAGAAGAGAAGAAGTAAGAAGGTATTTTAATTTAAATAAAAATGTAAAGTTGAATGATATATTTTTTTTAGTACTATAATATATGGTATAAAGTATAACCGTATAAAGCAGTATTCATATATATGATAAAATAAAATATAGATTGATAAATTTTTTATTTAACTTGCTGACTTGGCAATGACAAAGCTACATTAAAAAGGTGGTGTTAACCATCACCGTTAGATGTTAATCCAGTGAGAGAGTAACTAGAGAGGATTTTTATCCCTTGCTAGCACCTAACCTGTTAAAATTTCTCTATTAATTATTTCTAACTCCATTATAAAGAAATAACTACACTCAATGATATAGATAATTATAATTAGTTATAATATAGCCCCAACAGTTCCTGAATACCAAAATTTGATCATTTCACGTTAATTAGTTATTTGGATAAATATCATCAATCCAATATACTAATTAATGCATATTTGGCCACCTAAGTTTATCTATTTGATCACATAAATTCTTTCTTTAGAAAATAATAAATTTAATAAATGTATAAATATAAAAACTACTTATTAAATATGACTGACCAGATTTTTTTTATCAAACCAACCCACCCAAAATACTTTCATACATGGATTTCATTTTGAAAAATACGTTTTGCGACATTACATTAATATTTATCCAAAATACGCAAGTGTGTTGACACACAGGTCACTAAACTAAATCAAAACAAATATTAATATAACCGGGTATAGTTTTCATGATTAAGAGTCAACTTATATTAGTAATAGATTAGCAAAATTACTTATGATGGTGCGAGTAATTTTCTACTTATCGGCGATCCATTCAATGTGTCCCACACGCTAACACATTTGGTTTTGAATCATCCTATTCAGATGACCAAGATAAGTCACTCCAGTCAGTGCTTTTATCAAGTTAAAAACCAACAGTTACATTTATGAAATAGAATGCCCAATTATATTCCATTGAGTGCAAACATTAATAGTTGCGATAACCAATGAATTTATATCTCCCATGCACGAATCATTGCTTTATGTGCACATAAATTCATCTCATCATAATTAATGGACAATTAGCTCAAAAACTCTTTGAACTACTCAATACACTTATTCACCAATATTATATGAAGACAATAAATCAGATTTTATTACTTAATAAATATAAATTTACAATCAATAGCTTTGCCGGGCACACACAAATCCTAACAAATATGTAGGAAGGTTGTGCCATATAGGCGATACGCGGGCGCTTTGCATGACATTTGCATAACTTATGAGGATAGTTAGGTTTTAGAGTCTTCCACATTGTTGAAGTCTACGTAGAGAATTATGAATTGTTACAGAGTGATGGATGATTCTAGAACATTAAAGAGCTTGTAAGAATTTGTAGACTAAAGAATATTCTAGAAAATAGTAGAGAGTTATACGGGGATTAGAAATATTTAGATAGTTAAATGGATTGTTCTAAAGTGGGAATTTTAGCCATTGAGTGTAATGCATCATAGCCGTTCATTACGGAGAATGATGCCTGTATAAGGAATGAATGTCTTATTTGTAATTAACAAGTAGCATAGAGATTAGAAGTGAGAGTGTGAGTGCTAAACTTTTATAATAATTGTTTCAATATTGGTAATTGTTTATTCCATTATTTTTAGTCTAATGGGAAGGTGACATGTGGCGAGTTCCAATGAACTTGCCATACTAGATTGGTGCTTTGATATTCCAAAAGAGGAAGTTATACTGTGGAATTGTTGAAGATTGACTATAAGATATCTACCAATGAAAAGGAAACATATGGCGAGTTCCAATGGAACTTGCCACACTGGATCACAACTCTGGTAAGCTTTCATCAAAGTATTAAAACTATATAATTTCACGTAGTAAATGGAAGCAAGGATAAGTGGGCCAATTAAATCCCACTACGTGGAATCTTTTATTTTAAGGAAGGTGGTGAGTCATATTAGGACTTGCCAACTTTAAACAATGGCCCACAATTTCTTATTAATATGGAACGTAGGAATTACATGGAAACACTACCCTATATGCAACCTCATGCAATCATTTAAGACAATGTTCATCCAACCAATCGGTTTTCAACACATGGCGAGTTCTATGGGACTTACCATGGCATATCAATTCTTTTAGGAATTGTTGTTATAGAAGGTTTATGGGAAAATCGTGTGTTTCCAAAATCCCTAAGTAAATGGATGTTTCCCATTATGGCAAGACCAAAGTTGACTAAACAAGCAAGAGGAGAACATGGTGCTTGATTTTCTCCTTATTTTTAGGAGACTTCAATAGCTACTTCAGCCAAGTCAAACATTGAAATGCAAAGAAACAGGGACGTGGGTGACTATTTAAAATGTCAAGTATATTTCAGTATATATATATATATATATATATATATATATATATATATATATATAATAAAATACGACCCACGACGAGAAGTTGAAATTATGAAGGGGGCCACGACTCCATAATCAGAATGAAAAGTCCAAACCTGAAGAAGTTACCTAAAGCCAAGGAGACGTGGGTATACAATAATAGACATATATATGCATGATATAAATGGAATTATACAGGAAGAAGATCTATGTGAAATGAAAGACTTCTTAAATCATGGGACACTTGGCCAAACAAGAGTACGTCAGTTAAAAGTGGTGGTACTTCATGTAGT